AAAAAAAAAAAAAAAATTTGCTAATTGTGCCCTTGATTTCCCTGCTGACTGTGTCTCAGCAGCTCATCTCCTGGGTCCCTGGAGGCAAATGAGGACTCTACAGAAGTGCAGATACAGTAGGAACGGTTGTGGAGAGCAGCTCTGTGACTCCCATGCTTTAGAAAGCCTTCCCCATAAGCTGCCTAAAACTAAGAATTTAAAATTATAACTCAATGAAAGGCAATTTGGATCAGGGATGAGAGATAGGGAAAGCTTTACCAGTCAACCCTTTGCTATGGTAACAGTCACAGGATGCTTCTGCTGGTTGCCAACACCTTGTTCCCTACCATCCTGAGGTTTGGGTTCCTACCATCCTAGGGTTTTTCATCTTCCTGCCATAAGATAATTAACTGCTTTAATTAAACCGGCAAGCTGAACAGGGCTTTCATACATGGGTCGTGTGATGATGTTATGTGTCGTTTTTTCGTATGCGTTATGTTTTTTCAGACATATTTGTTGTTGGCTGAGAGCTTGTGACGTGGCCCTGCTCTGCTTGTTTGCCTCTTTTCCAGCCTGCAAATGGGTGGTTAAACACTGGAAGCTGGAACCCCAGCTCTGGTCCAACCAGGAGACATGCTGTAGGGATCAGCAGATTTAAATGGGAATTAAAATGGGATCTGGACCACCTTGAGGGTGACATTCCCAGTCTTTTCAGGTGCACTGCATGCTGTGGAAAGGAGGATGCTTATTAGGATGGGGCTGCTGCATAGGCAGAGTGTTTTTGAAAGCTGGCGTGCAGATGTGAGCAAGCAACGCGGGAGAACGTAAAGATTGTGGTGCTGTCGTGAGTTCGGCTGGGACAGGGTTAATTTTCACGAGCAGCTGGGAGGAGGCACAGCCGGGACAGCTGACTCAAACTGGCCAAGGGGATATTCGGTACCGCATGACGTCATGCTCAATATTTATATGTTGGGGGAGCTGGCAGGGAGGGGGTTAAACCACGACAGGGCGGGGCTCGAACCCTCGTCCCCAAGACTGCAGCTCTCCCGGCTGAGCTCACCGGGCGCGGCCGCTCCTTCCCGGTCGGGGGGCCGCGGTGGAGAGTCGGAACAAAGCGGGAAAAGTCGTGGGATGAGATAAGGACAGTTTAATAGGGCAGTGCAAAAAAGTGAGAAGGGGTAAGAACCGCAATAATACTAATAAAATAACAATACAGCGATTGCTGCGTCCCCTCCCAGCTCCTTGCGAAAATTAACTCTCTCCCAGCCGAAGCCAGGACAGATTTGCACGTATGATGTGCAGAACTGCGCCCACACACCCCTTTAGGGTGTGCTTTTCTGCTTGCGTGCCCCTGTGTGTGCATCCAGCCGTGTCTCCACCTAGACACGTGGGTGCCCAGTCTGTGCGTGTGCCAACAGGCAGCGGAAAGCCAGGCGGGACCTCATGGTCACCATTCCAGCCCCGCTCGCAAGTGTGATCCCGATCTCGCAGCTGGCCCAGGTCGGTGGCGGTGGCTGGGGAGGTTGCATGGACTCTGTGCATGTTGGTGAGTTCGTCTTATATTGCAGGGTGGCGGAGGAAACCGGGTGGCACGTCACAGCCTGGGCAACGTCACGTATTTCCTGTGTGCGCTTCGCCCGCCAACGAGAAGGGCCGGAGGACGGGGCTCACTGGGGCAGCACTGCCTTGGCACAGAGCTGCCCACACGTGTGGGTGCCGTCAAGAACATGCCAGTTGTGGCATAAGTGGACCCGGAGCTCAGCAGTTCCCTGGGTGAAATTTAGCAGCGTGGCCAGTTTCCTCATGTGCGCCGATTTACCAAAAGGTGAGGAAAAGCTTAAAATAAAAAAAAACAACAACCTCTCCCATAAAAACCCCTCCAAACCCTTCCCTCCCCAAAAAGCCCCAGCACTGGTGCATTTAATGTCTCTGTGCTTTCAGCTCCTGGGCACGTGTTTGTAAACAGGGTCTGTGTGCGTGGGACCGTATGGGGAGAGCGCTTTGCTCACCAATGCTCTGCTGTGTGCTGGGAAAAAAGTCACCAACACCCCCCCCCAAAAAAAACCCCAGTATCCCCTTGCAAGTGGATAAAATGTTCCCAGGGCTGCTTCTTCCTGGAAGGGGACGGCATATCCTTGCAGGCTTTGCTGGGAAAGAAAATATGATCTGGGGATAGTTGCTGGGAAGCAGCAGTGAAGAGCAGCTGCTGTGAAAAGCTGCTCCCTGGATTTGGAGGCGTTTTAGGCCGGGTAGAGGGACCCCTTCCTCGCCTTCCCGAGGTGGCAGGTGATGCCAGGAAGGGTTGTGTGACTTTGCACATCGGCTGGTGCCCATGATACGCAGATGTGAAGTGGCCTCTGGCCAAAAGCCAGCGGGATGGGACAGAAACGTTGATATGTTTCCTGGGGTAGGGCGCTTGTGGCTCTGATGCTTGATGGAGGAGGAGGAAGGTACACGGCACCTGCCTTCCCCCTCCTCAGGCTCCTGCCTTCCTGACTGGGACAAGGAATTTGAGCACCACCATGCCCGGGGGATGCTGTGCTGCTTTTCCAGCCAATAAAGTAATTTTTTTTTTTTTTTAATACGTGGCAAAAGGTGTAGAAGTTACTACAAGGAAATTAAATGCCTCTAAATCTATGAAATAGGGTGTTCGTTTCCTGCTGGGCGGGGGGAGAAACCATCCGTGAAACAGTCCTTGGCTTTCCTGAGAGTAAATCCATATGAATTTATACGTTGGCTTTATACCTTAAGAGTTCTCTGTCCCTTTTCTGATTTGCTCAGATAATTTACTTCCAGTTCAGCTTGTCCGACAGTGACTCCTGAAAGCATGGGACACTTGAATCAGGCTTTGCAGTCTGGAAAATGGATGTCGGAGTTCCAGCTTTTCCAGATACTAGATAGACACGGATAGATCAGATCCTACCCGATTAACCTTTTAATGTTGTGAAAAGCTTGGGAAAGGCTTCAGATGAGGTAGGATCTCCTAATTGCCTATGGAGGCAGGAGGGATGAAGATTGGCTTTTCTGTCTCATTCCAGGTATCGGATCAGGGACTTTCCAGGACCATGTGTGTGGCTGCCATCCAAAACTGGAAGGCAATGCCCATCTCTGCCTGCCTGCTGCGTTCTCCACCTGAAAACATTGCTGGGGGCCGGCTTCTTAGGTAACCTGTGATAGATCCGAGATAACATTTATAGCAAGAACTCCCTGGGATCTTTCTGTTCTCTCCCTGGGCTCAGGTGAGGAACGTCAGAGGTACAGAGCCCTCCCTTTGACCATCATGGAGCCCACAGCTCACAGTCAGCAGGAGGCACCTACCCCTTCCAGCACAGAGACAGCAGAAGACCTTGCCTTCAAGTTAAACATTGCTGTGAGGGAGGGCAATATAGAAGGTGTGCTGGAGCTGCTGGAGAAAGGGGCAGATGTGAACTCCAAAGCTGGAAGTGGCTGGACACCACTGCAGAGTGCCGTGCAAGCTAATGATGAGGACCTGGTCCAACTTCTGCTCGACAGAGGTGCTGATCCACATGCCAGGAAGGACAACGGTGGCACTGCGTTTACTGAGGCAGCCAGTGCGGGAAACGTGACTGTACTGCAGATGCTCCTTGATCTCGGGCTGGATATTAATGACCATGACGACAACGGCTTCACGGCTTTCATGGAGGCTGCGTGGTACGGGAAGGAAGAAGCCTTAAAGTTCTTGTATAGCAAAGGAGCAAAGGTGAATTTGAGAAGGGAAGTTAGCCAGGAGAAAATGAAACTGCACAAAGGCGGCGCGACAGCGCTGATGGATGCTTGTAGGAAGGGCCGGCTCTCGGTTGTCAAAACTCTTGTCCAAGAGATGGGGGCTGACGTGAACATTTGTGACAACAAAGATAGGAACGCCTTGATCTATGCCCTCAAGGAGGGCTGTGCCAAGGAGACATACCAGTCCGGTGTCTCCATAAGCCGTTTCCTGCTGGGCTCTGGTGTTGATGTGAACAGCAAAGATGAATGTGGGAAAACTGCCCTCATCCTAGCTGTTGAAATCCAGAGCCTAGATCTGGTGGAAGCTTTACTGGAGAAGGGTGAAATAGATATTGATGACGCAGATGAAGAGGGCAACACAGCACTGATGGTGGCTGTAGAGAAAAATGATTACAAGATAGCAGAGCTGTTGTGTAAAAAAGGAGCAAGGACTGATGTTGGGAGTCTTATCACTGTCGCGAATAGGAATCGAGCTCATGACATGGCAGGTCTTCTTCGTCAGTTTAATGCCAGGTTTGTTCCAGAAACCCTCAAAGACTGGGAGCCAAACAGCAGACGCTGGAGGGATCAGCTGAAAACTCTTTATAAAATATATCGCCCTATGATTGGCAAACTGAAGATGTTTCAATACATCCAGCAGAGAATCCAGAACACTTCCCAGGGTGGCATCTACCTGGGGATCTACGGTGGGACAGAGGTAGCAGTGAGAATAAGCCGCAATATAGAGGGTGAAAAAGAGAAAAGGTTCTTTGAACAATGTCGTAACTGTGAATGTCTACTGAAGCTCTTCCAGTTTGAGAAGGAAAGAGGTTACATGTATTTGTGCTTCCCCCTCTGGGAGAAAAACCTTGAAGAACATCTGCAGGAACCAGAAGGCCAAATGAGTTACAAAGATGCTCTGAGGATGATCTTCCAGGCAGTGAGAGAGCTGCACTCCCTTGGATTCGCTTACCAGGATCTGCATCCCAGCAACTTTTTAATAGGTTATCTTTTGCTTTCTCAGTGTTTTCATTTTGCTTTCCTGTTGCCTGTATTTAGAGAAGAAGATGCTTCATAGCTGTCTGTGAAAAAAACAGATATGAAACATCAGTGCAGGTGTCCTTATGCAGAATGAGGTGTCTGTGGCATTTGCTCTTCTCTTTGAAAAAGTATAGATATGTTCACAGACATCCACGGAGCGGTGAACAGAACAACTTTACACGTCTCATTAGATCTGCCCTCCTTTCCAGGGCTTTGCAGAAAGATGAACCCCCAGCAAATCTCTTCAGAGATTTGTTTTCTAGAGAAGGGGTCATCTGGAAGTCCGTGACAAACTGTATCAAGGTTTTCCACCATGATTTGTTAACAATTTCTCTTATTTCCTCAGATTTAGGTGGCCAAATTTACTTGGCGGACTTTGATAATAAAAGAAAGTTGATTGAAGGCAAAAAAGAACCTGTAAACTCAGATTTAGAGGTAACTTCCCTGCAAATTGATGTCTGCTTTCAAGCTGCAGATTCCCTCCGAGATTTTCTGTTGCTATGCATCCTAGGGGAAGCCTTCCTGCATCCTCAACTAGAAAACACCTTGTTTTTTGGGAAAACCCGTGTAACAACAGACCCTGCATAAGAGTGATAGTAATGAGGATGCAAGGCTGTGCCGGGCGCTGGGGTGTCCACAGATACCCCGTGAGCATGATCATGGTGTCCATCTCCCCCGTCTGTGTGCACACAGCTTCAAAGTTTGCGCTTGTGCGTATTTGTCTACTTCTGCACACCTATACATGCGCTCACATACGCAGTCTGCTCATTTAGGAATACTCTTCCTCTTCCTCTTGGTAAGAAGTTTCGTGTACCTGGCATGTGAGCAGTGACGTGTTTCTTTGCAGGCCCTCGGCAAGCTCGTGCTGTATGTTTTAGCAGGGGGTAGGAAACCCCTCCAGCAAGTCAGTACCGAGGATTTGGCTGCTGATTCCCCAGATTACCCAGAGGCTCTGGACCTCGTGAGTTGCCTGGTCTCTCATGATGAACGAGGCTTGGAAGGTTTGAGCAAACATCCCTACTTCTGGAGCAAACAGACGTAAGTGCTGGGGAGTGCAAAGGAAAAGCTTTCAGTACGGGATTTGCCTGGAGCGCTGGGAAGAGTGATGTCCTGTTGCAGCTAACGAAGCTCCTCATTCCACAGCAGGTTCAGTTTCCTGAAGAGCGTATGGAATAAAATCAAAGATTTCCCCAAACAAGACCAAGAAGCTGTCTTTCAAGCTCCTAATACTACTGAAACTTTTCCTTACCCGTCATGGACCAAGGAGGTAATCCCCTCTCTTTGCACAGGTACGAGGTTTGAGGTAGACTATCAGGCAGAAGAACTGGAAAAAGTAGCCTCATGCAAATACAGATAACTGGGGGAAACAGTTAAATCTAAGTAGTCAAAATACAACAGACTAAAGACTGATGCTAAAATGAGCCTCTGTTAACTGAGGGGGTAGTAGAGGATGGTTATTATAGAATTAGCTGGCAAATATTCAGGGGTGTTGGTTGGTGACCCATTAAGACAAGCATTTCTGGCCCTTGTTGCCAGCAAATTTCTGGCAAAAGGGTTTTGTTAGATTGGCTCAGGAGCAGTGAGACCAGGCCTGCTTTCACAGGGGGCATCTTGGAAAGACGTGCTGCATTGTTTGAGATCTGGCAGTCTCAGTTCAGTCTGGCATGGCCCTCTCAACAGTGACACTGTTGAATGGAGACTCCTGAGTCCCTCCAGACATGCATGAAAATCTCCTGTGCCATGTTGACAGTCCTGATATGAGTCTCAATGTCTTGGCAAGGCAGGAGACGAAACACTTTGCAGAATCAAGGGTCTGCGTGGCGCATGCCCTGCAGAGGGAATTCTTCTGCTCCGGTTGGGAAATATGCTTTTAAGGGTCACGAGATTTATCCATGCAAGATGATGTCCCTCGGGAAAGGCAGTGGCTGTGGTGAGTGGAGGTCGATGTGCTCCTTTTGTGGTGCCTGAAAGGCAGAGAATAATCTACCTGCTCTTTTTCAGATTGACAAATTTGTTCTGAACATCATGGAAAATCCTAGGACTGGGAGACAATTCAAATATAGAAACGACGTCACCAACCTACTGAGGCTTATCAGAAACTTGGATGAGCACCCGGATGGCAGGTACATGTTCACATCCTCACCCCTGCCACAGTTGCATTGCAGGGAGCCTCTGCATTGCAGAGCAAGCATCAGTGTGTTCAAGAGCAAAGTCTTCTTCAGATGGTCTTCTTTAGAAGGGTGAAGACAGCTCATCTGGCAGCACAATAGTGCGTGAAAGACGGCTCGTTAGGGCAGCAGTCTGGAGCTGGAGTTTTTAGATCACTCTTAAATACTTGTATCATCCTTTATACCTGTGAAAAGTCTCCTTATCTACCTTGCTAGTACTTTCAAAGTGCTGATGTTTACTGTGCTGGAGTGCTTTGAGATACGGACTGGGAAGCACTGGTCCTATTAGAAGATCTGGTTAGGAGGTTTTGACTCCTGAAGAGCTGCCAGAGTCTCCAACCCTCTACAGTGGTGGGAGCTTAGAGGTGTGAGGTTAGAGGTGGTGTTAACTCCTAGTGATAGCTTCACTGATGCTGCTCTTCAGTGAAGATGCAGGTGGGATTAGACAGATGGAGGTGCTGGAGGAATAGTGAAAAAATGGATTGAGGAGCTTGGGGAAGGTACTGAAAAGTTGCAGCTCAAAGATTTCTAGGAAAAAAATGTATTATCAGAAAGCCTCTGGAATAGCTTTTTCTCTGCAAAGGAGGAACCAGGGCATCCTGGACACTTGACTCCTTGGGCAAGCTTTAAAAATCCATTTTGTTTTTGTTCTCTTTCAGGATCAGCAACAGAATAGGAGACCATGCTGAGTATTTCTTGAAGCTTTTTCCAGCACTTACCATTTATGTCTACAACAGTTTACGCCAGAATCCCAAATACAGTCACTTTTGTAGACATTAAGGACCCTTCTCTGTAGAATGTCATTGCCTTGTATCCCATGTCTGAGCCCACCATCACTGCCTCTTTTTATTCCCTATTTCTTCATCTGCAAAAGAATTGAAGAAAGTGGGTGAGGAGATGGGGGAGAGCATGTGGAGGACTTAGACTAAGAAATGAAAGATGCTTCAGGAGTGTTTGGTGTAACAGCCATGGGCTTTGGAGAGGAACCAAGTTGAGTGCCAGCCCAGGTCCTGTTTGACTGCCTCTGTTCCCCTGGGCTTATCTGCCTGTCTGAGGTGGAGATCAAGGCCCCAATCCGTATGGAGAGCAGGGAGATGTGGGACAGCCTCCATATACCCAATGCATCTGGGAGGCAGGAGAAAAGCTCAGCCATTGGCAGACAACATGGGACTCCCTGGTAAAGGAAAAGGAGCTTGAGCTCCCTGCTAGGGCCAATATTCCCTACGGCTTCCACTGATGAGCTGCTCATCTACCCCTAGAAAGACAAAGATTTTCTCTTTTCAGTCTTTTTGAAACACAGCAGCCAGAAGATGAGATTCCTAGGCAACGATCTGGCTGCAGAGTTGCCCTTGGCCTGTTGTCCCTCTTCACTGGTAGAGGCACCCAGCCTGCTGGGACCTGAAGGGCTTCTGTTGGGGGATGCAGGAGATGTTTCCATGAGGAACGGACATGAGGAGCACGATCCCACAAAACTCTGCTACCGTGAGTAGTCCTGCATCACCTGAAAAAGATCGCTGACATCAGAGGGGCTGCAGGAACCGGGACCAGTTCCTCCTGGAAAGGACAAGCTCTGCCGTGGCAGGCTGGGTCTGCAAGGCAGGGCTAGGCATGAGCACTGCCTGTCTCCAAAACATTGCTGCCGCTGGTGCATCGCTGTCGTCCTGCCCGGCTTGCCTCCCTGGCACAGAGCTGGTGCCCATACGGCCGTAGCACGCAGCCAGCTCAGAGCTTTGATGTCGGAGCACTGGGTGGTACAAACCCACTTCTGAAATATTTTTCAACTGTTGAAAAGATTTTTAATTTTTTTTTTTCAAACTGAGGTTGTTGCACTTTCAGTTAGTGTATGGAGAACTGAACCTGGAATAAACATGCTTGGAAAACTGACTCTTACTACCCTCATTTATGAATGAGGTCCTCCATCCCCTCTGCACAGAAAGAGAGAGTCTGCAGCACTGTAAAATACTCAAAAGGCTGCAATTAAAAAATTCCTGTGGAAGTGCCTCTTGGTTGTTTAGATGAGGTGGTGGATGATTTTGTCACTGCGATCAAGCTGATGGGAAGAATTTCCAGGGAAGGCTGGTGTGGTCTGCAGGGCCGTGTCCTGCCTTCTGAGAAAGGAGGTGTCAGAGGAGAAGCTTGATCCATGCACGGTATCTGCAAAGCTTATTGCTCACAGCATCAGGCCACGGGAAGAGGTGGGGCTGCAGGACTGGGACCAAGGCTGGGGAAAGCACCAGGCTGTCTCTGCTCCTCGCAGGGACAGGGAGGATGGGTGAGTGCTTGGGGACAGGCCAGGCAGGATGGAAAACCAGTGGCAAGGACAGCTGGATGGTACGGCAACTGAGTAGTGTGGCAGTGCCAGATTTTGTGTCCTGGGGAGCCAGGAGCAAGGCTGCGGGCAGAGCCAGCTGCCAGAGCCAGTGCTGCCTGATGTGCTGATGGCTCCCAGCATCAGTGCCCGTCTGGGAGGTGCTTGCAGAGCACATGTGGTGCCCAAGGGCATGCTGATTTGGCCCTGCACGTGTCATTCCCCTGCTGTAATGCCTGTACGTTGCCTCTTTGCTGCGGCCTCTGCTTTTTTCTGCTGCTGAGTGACCTCAGGGGTAGCTGGCTCAACCTGGTGCGATGGGATCAGGCGGTCCCCACGCTGCCACGTGTGTGCTGAGGACATGCTTGTGTGCGCAGGGATGGCCCCAGGTCGATGTGTCTCAGCTAGTGTACTGGGGAAAGAAAAAAAAAAAACCCACAAACGGTCTACAGAAACAGAAGCAGTGGAGTGAAGATGGCTCTTAACTGTGGTTTGGCTGTGATGAGCTCCAGGCACATCTGTGAAGCCTTCTAGGGACCGGGCTCAGCCTGCAGAGCCTAAGTGTTAGTGCAAAGCATGGACAAACACAGCTAGCTTTTGGGGCTGAAAGCTTTCGGGGCAAAACCAAGTTACAGCACAAGGGTCATTTTCAGGAGCTGGTCACAGTGCAGGTTGTAGGAAGCTGATGCCACACCCAAGTGCCTCATTTACAGAAATATTGTTGGGTTGGTTTGTTTTTATGATCCTCCAGAAGCAAAGCGTTGATGATCGTAACTGACAAATACGAAAAACATCGTCATCTGCCTTAAATGCACCTGTGCTATTCCCAGGATGCAGTCTTCTAGGATCTGAGGGTTAAAAAGTAGCTAAAAATAGCTCAAAATTTACAAAGCTGAGAGCTCGCGAGGGGACTGTCAGAGGCAAAGCTTGATAATGGTCATGGTCTTTTTTTCATGAGGCTCAAAGAACATCTGGGGTTCCTGCTGCTTCCTGGGGACTTGGCAAAGCCGCTCTGACTCAGTTTCTCCTGGGGAAAATGAAGGTCTTTGATATGATCTAGTTATGCTTTGTAAACACAGGTCTACTGTCTTTTAAAAACACATGCTGAGGCCCCGAGTCAGGCATGAGCTGATTTTGATTGCAAAAAAAGAGAGAGAGGCATCATCTCACCACCCAGAGACAGCTGAGTAGTAAACCAGGTGGGTTCTCTCAGCCTTGCCACCCACAGGAGGTATTTAATTAGTGTGGAAAGCATGGAGAGGGGTGATGTGAGAGAAGGTTGTAAGTCATGCTGAGCAGAGGGAAGCAATCATGGTCCTCGGTCAGAAGCATGGCTCCCTGTGGAGCAGGGCACTGGGAATTGGTGGTCATTGATGGTCTTTGAGGACCCTCATCCTCAGGCAAAGTATTTGCTGTGACTGCTTTCTGGCTTTAAGGGCTTTCCAGATGTCTTGGGAAAGACCTCAAAGGTGGTGCTGTGCTGTGCACCCAGGGTGATTTATTTACAGTTACTAGGTCCCACTTATGGGCAATGCAGTCTTCTACAGATACATGTGAGGAAAGAGATGGTTGTGTGGACGAGGCTATCTCCTCGGGTGGAAATGTGTCATGGCATGTCCCTGCCATGGTTGCAGAGGTGCAAGCTGCTGTGCTGTGTTACTGGGCAGGCTGGAAGATGTTGTGAGTTGCTTTATTTTTAGGTCTTACTGCTGTTTAAGTGCAAACTATGCAGTGTGGCCAGGCTGGTCAAGTTTCTTGGAGCACACTCCTGTCCTGCTCAGTGTGGATGGTAGGTTCGAAGGTCTGTTCTTCCCTTGGTGCCTGCAGGGAAGGGAGACATGTCACATCAGTTGTTGCTGCTCATGGAAGCAGGATGTGGGTGATCAGGTATGAGCAACACAGCTGTGTGCTCCTGGGGAGCTGTTCAGGGCATGAAGAGTTGCAGCAACTGGGGATTTTCTGTGAATGTTACTGGAGATGGTGGGGATGACTCACGTCCTGCACAGACCCACCCAATTAGCCTTTGGGTTGTAAGGGGAGTCATCCGTGCTGCTCCATGTGCTTGTGCTGGTGTGGTTTGGGGGAGGAAGGCTGCCTCTGCCACCACCTACCTCCTCTGCAGGACAGGATGCAGACTCGCTGAATGAGAGCCTTTTCTCAAGGTCTTTATCTGAATCTGAGAAAAACAACATGCACAACCTTGCCACTGTGGACCGATGCAGGGAGCCCTCCAGCCCAGCTCCCACTCCAGCAGCTGAAGCAGGAACGATCCTTTCAGCACTGGCTCACCTTTTTGCTCCTTCAATGGCTCCGTTTTCTCCTGGGGCTGCGGCAGCAGGATCTGGACTCCTTTCAGGAGTGTGAAGACAATGACAGTGTGGTCGCCTGGTGAGGGAGAAGAAACGAAGCGGTACAGTGCGGCAAATGTGGCAGGACAGCAGGATGCTTTGTCCCCTTTGAATCCCACGGGGCTCATACAGAGGTCAAGGAAGGGTGGTTGAGCAAGAACATGAGTTACCCATATCTCCTTGACTGCAAAGCTGTTTGGGGGCTGCAGGGCAGGGGTGTCACATCCCGCCCTGGCTCTGCTGCAGGGTTGAGGTGTCCTGGGTGGCAGGTGGGAGGATTGCAAGGAAATGGCATTTGGAGAGATGGGGACAGGGATGTGCACAGACGTGCTCCTGGCTTTGTGCCCCCATGGGTGGCTCCTCCCAAGAGGAGCTTGCCCATGAAGCGGGGTGAGGCACTATGTCCTGCCTCAGCAGGACCGAGAAGGCACAGACAGTGCCACAGTGACGCCTGGTGATGGCAGATGGATTCGTGATCGGTACCTTCCCAGCCGAGCGCACGCCGCATCTGCGTGATGCAGGGACCCTCGAAAGGAAAGAAAAGCAAGACTTGGGCGATAGGAGGGTTTTTCTGGTGTTACAGTTGTTTCCCCTAGGAATTTTAGTGCCCTTTAACGACAACAGAATCAGGTTTTCTCTCTCTTCCCCATCAGTGTCCTGAAGACCTTGGCAAACACGTGACTCTGTCCCAGATGACAAAGCAGGTGGCTCCTGTGTAACTCAATGTTTCTGGCTTGTCTCTAGCTGCGAATACACATGTGATGGGACAGGTTTTGTCTGTTTTTTTCTGGTGGAAATCGGCTTTTGCATTAAAACAGTGGTATTTGAGAAGGCCCTAGAGGTGCAGCAGGTCTCTGTAGCAAGGTGAGGACTCAAGCCAAACATTGCACATAATCCAGAGGAAAACTCAAGGTGTGGGGTGGTTTGAGCCAACAGAAACAGCTTGGCAGTTTTGGAGCACACCAGCACAGGGGTCTGTCACCCCAGCGCGGCTGCGGAGCTGTAGCTTGAGCACCTGCCCTGTAGGGATCGAAATCTTAGAACTCTGCTGATTTATTTTTTTTTTTTTTTAACCAGAACTTGACAGTGATAAATGACAGGGAGCAGAACATCGGCTTGCTGACACCCACTCGACCATCAAAGCAAGATTAGTATGTGCCTATTTTGGTTTCCGCTTTAATCAAAAATCAATTAGGCAATTACCAAAGGAACGTTCAGCCAGGGAGCTGGGTTGTCAGGCAGGCTGACAGCACTCAGCACCACTTGCTTTGTGTTTTTCTAGTTTTGAGTTATTCTGTGTATTGAAACGAAACAAGTGGATGAGGAGGGGAGGGGAAAAAATAAAATCTTTCTCGTGTCCTAGTGAGGGTCACCTTGAATCCTGATGAAACTTTTTCTCCATTGCAGATGTTCACAGCATCCTCCCTGCGATGCCACTGAGCCTGGTGTTTGGCTGCATGGTGGTTCCCCTTTTCCTGCTCCCATCTGACTCGCAACCCGAAAGATTAGTTGCTTTATTTCTGTTTTCAGGGTGTGTGCGAGAGTATTTTTAACTCGGTTTTCAAAGCAAACGAGTTATGTGACAGCTCTTTCCTCATCAAGTCTCTGCACCCGCTTCCCTATTCCCCTCCAAAATTTCTAAAACTTCCCTGAGCGGTTTTGTCTGAGTTTGAGGGGAAGGAATGGTTTCGAAGATGCTTCATTTTTCAATAGGCACCCACCACGTGTGTCCTCAAAGGTATGTGAAGCAGTGATGTGAAGGAAGGAGTTTGGCTCTTAAGTGGAACCCTATGGGACACTGAAAACCCAGCTCTGGATGCCTCTGCCTTGGAAGAATAAGTCTGAGGACAAACTTGGAGCAGGGGTACAGGTACTCAGCTTACTTGGACTGTAGATGTCAGATGATTTGGAGGACGTTTTTGTACTGGGTGAAGAGATTGGCACCTTCTCCTTCATGGAGACCTGAAAGCTCCTCATCACCTTCCAGGTGCAGAACCTGTATGAGAAATACTGACAACAGCAAACCTCCAAGCAGACATCTACAGCTGAGCTCCTGAGGAGTGTCTCATCTGCATTTTCATCATGTCAGAGGAAGAGGTGGCTGGAGAAGAAGGCTGGGATCCACAGAGCCTCTCCCGCCTTGGGAGAGAGGGGATAGGTACCTTCTCCAGAAGTGCATCAGGATGGGGAAGATGATGACCTTGGCCCTGTGGTAGAGGATGCGGTTCAGTAGCCCATTGGAAGACAAACTCCAGATTAAATATCTCTCTTCTTTAGAGATGTTTACCTGGCCAAAGAAGAGACCTCGATTAACCAAAGCAGTTTGTGGCACTCTTGGTGGGCCCTAAAGTTATGTTTCTCTCCCTGACCCCACTGTTCGTTTCAGTAGTCTCTAAGAAGAGGTATTGGATACATCCTGGCCAATTGTCCCAGGCACAGAGGTGGGATGACACTTGGATTTCTGTGGAAAGCACTGTGCTGTGCTTCCCAAAGGGAAGATAGGCAGAGCTATGGCCACTGTAGGGGAAGAGATGGGTGCAGAAGGGAGGGAATGATGGGGACATTGACCTCTGGAGACTGAAAGGACTGAATTGGTGGAGTGCAGCACCTGTCCTGGTGCTTCAGCCCTGGATTTCTCCAGCAGGTTGAGGATTCACCATCTCCTTGTCCACTCCCTTCTTCTCAATCTGTCTGGGTCAAGTGCTAGTGTGGGGTCTGGTAGTGGATTGGTTCCCATCCCATGGAACCCAAGCGGAGGTCTCAAGCTCCAGAGCATGCTCTGAAGCTTCAAGATATGCTTGGCTGGAGCAGATCCAAACCTCTGCCCGCTTCCCCTTTCCCTGGAGCTGCTCGCAGCTGCAATGCAATGGTCTTGAGCAATGAGTGGACAGCAGCCTTCAGCCTTCCTGGGTGGGTCATAGCATCTCTTACCCGCAATTTGGGGGGAATATCGGAGTTCAGGAAGAGTTTGCTGATGATGGCAACTTTCTTTTTCAGAAAGGCAACTTCCTTTTTTGACCGCATGTTGCGGCCTGCCAGAGCTTCAACTGAATCAGCCAGCCTGGAAAACCTGCAAAGGCATGTGGGGTTTTGCTCTGAGACAAGTGCTCTCACTGCTAGGCTAGACAGTCGGGTTCTGTCTTAGCTCCATATTTACTGGGTCAGAAGAAGCTATCCACGAGGTGTGGAGCAGTGAAACAGGTGGAATGAAAAGTTGCTTCCCTCTTCTACTGCCCACATGGTCGTGGCATCCACCTGCAGGATGCGATGTTTGCCCTTCTTCAGGAAAAGAGGGGAATGGAAACCTGGTCTTGTGCATATGGGAGTGTGCTGACTGCAGTGCTGTTGTGCATCAGCCATGGCTTGCTCTCATGGGTTTGTCAGGGAACTGGACAAAGTCAGTGGAGCAATGCCACAACTGGCACATCAAGGAAGGTGTAGGCAAAACATTGGATTACTTGAGACTGTCAAACCAAAAGTATCTCTAGGAAACCCAAACAGGAACCCTGAACCAGGGGACTTTTTTTTTTTCTGTTTGAAACGGAGGGGTTTGGGGGCTCCAGGGACAGGTAACCATGAACAGATTAGATGTAGACAGCTACGAGGTGAGACTTTGGTTGTGTCTTTTGCTGTGAGGTGACGTCCAGCCTTGTGCAGAGGTGCTGACAGGAGTTTAGGGGTGGCAGCACAGACCTAAGTCTGTGCTAACAAACCTATGGACCAGGCTTTAACCCCCTGCTGAGAGCTGGGCACTGTCTGCAGGGTGGGTTCGGGCCAGAGCCAAGGGAGACTGGTGGTACCTGAGCACCTGGTGGAAAGGGAACTTACTTGTCAATCTCCAGATAAAAGTGGAGGTCGTTGACGAGGAAGTTGACGGTGATGAGCTGGCCGTTAAACAGTTGGCGTTTCACTAGTGCCACCCCTATGTCCGGTGGGGTGCTGGCAGAGGCCGTGTGGGAGCGGACAGTGTTGACGGTGCTGCTGCTCTGCATCGGGCTGATGGGCAAGTCTGAAAGAGGGGAAGAGCTGGGCACCTGATGCTGAGCTATACCCTGCTCCTTCACCTCACCTGTGCTTGCTTTTCCCACATGCAGGTAATTTGCTGAGGGTCTTTCTCCCTAGGTGGACTACAGCTTTTCTGCAGCCAGATTCTCCAGGGAATTCAGACCCATTCAGTGTGCAGCCTTCCTCCTATCTTAGTAACCTCCTCCATCCATCCTCTTCTTTGCACCCGTGGAGGGCTTATGTTCATGGTTTTCATGGGGGACAGCCACAGTACATTAGATCAAAAGTCTGCCTGCCTGCCTCAGCGTTATCAGAGGACAGAAGCAGATAACTAGTGAGAAGGAAAGGTAAAACATCTCTGTTACTTCCTCCGTATACAATATTCTCCAGCTTCCAAGCATTTTCATTTCCAGGGTTTCTGCGTATTTAGCAATTTTAGTGGATTTCTTTTCTAACAGCTCTTTCTCCTCTCAAACCACTGTGTAAACTTTCAGGATCTACATGCTTTAGCAAAGCACTCTGTAGTTCACCTCCCTGTTGCATGGAAAACCGTCTCCGTTTGTGTATTTTTGGCCTGTGTCACCTTAGCGTCATTTAGTGCCTCCTGTTTTTTGTGGAAGGGATGCCAACTTGCGTGATGCAACAGCATCGTGAGGCACTTGCATCAGAAAACCAGTTACTGCATGAATGTGTATGTGTGCAAGTTGCCTGTGCAAAATTCTGGACCTCATCTCCCGATTCCAGCACCTAAGCATGCAGATTTCTGCACAGCAATGTCTGGCATCCTGAGACACCCACTCTTCTGGCTCTTTATAGACCTCCAGCAGAGAAAACTAAGTCAACATATGGAGATGGGAGATGAGCAACAGCTTTCCTCCATTTACTTCTTTTTCTAAACCCTGGACTGTCTTGGTCAGGGAGGAGAGGAGTGGCAGGGGGCTAGCCATACTTTTCTCCTTGTTTTCTAGTTCCCGACGGAGAAAGTCCTCAAACTCTGCGCGGTGTTCGTTGTTGTTCATCTCCCTCCGGAACTTGCAGATGCTCTTGATGATGTCGTGAATGGCATACCAGGCCCTCCGCTGTGGAGACACAGCACAGCTCACATCAACAGTGACAGGGCTTGCTCCCAGACAGAGCCCTCCTATTGGGACCCACCACTGTGAGCTGGACCACCAGAGCCCAGCCTTCGCAGTGGGATTTATGACCCAGCCATCATCTTTGCTTTCCAGTATTTCCTGGTTTCACTGGTGGCCATAGGTGCCAGTATGAGTCACTTGGCCAGTCCTGACCAAATCTGGTGGAGTCTGCATGGAGCAGGACTCCAGTGGCTGTAGGAGCAAGGTTTTACTGATCAGATGCCTTTTTGCAGCTCTCCAAGACTGACTCCTTCACCCCATTTATGTGAGCTCTGCTTGACCCACAGAATCTCCTCTCTTTCTTGCCTGGACAACATTCCCAGCCTGCCAGTAGAGAGGGTCTTTCCTTACCAGCTTGTCTGTCATGAAGTTCTCCATCCTGTGCTGCAAACGAAGGTCAGGCTTATGCATATCGCTCGGGGGAAACAGGTCCTGGTACTGTTTAAACCTGCCAGATGGGAGATGAGAGAGAGCATCAAGGGCAGACAGATATGAGGAGAGCAGTGGTTTGGTGGGAGGATGGCTAAGTGAGAGGAGAAGGTTGGAGAAAGGGACAGGGGGCTGGATCCCCTCCCTTGGGCTCTGTCCTTGGGCTTGGGAGTGTCCGTCCTGCATATCTCTAGTGTATGTCCTCCTTCAGCCCAGCACCCTGCAAGCCCAACAGTGCTTTCATCCCCGTAGGACAAACCCTGCCAGCCTTGTGCACGTAAATGCACCAGCAGCTGCATCAGCGGTGTCGCTGGGGTGAGGGTCTGGTTGGGATTTCGATGCAGCGGCTGATAGTTCACGGGGAAATGCGTTTGTAGCAGTTGCTGACTGTCACCTTAGGGTTCCATGGGAAGGATGTGTTTGGGTAAGCACTGGGCTTAGGAACCAGCTTGACCCAGGTCCTCACCATCGTTTTTCCATCGCCTTCTGGACAAAGACCTGTGCTGTCATCAACATGAAGGGGCTGACTACTTCGGCCTCATCTATGTCTTCGATGATTGAATTGTCGCAGTCCAGCTGCTCCTCTGGAAGAGAACTGGGATTACTGCCTGCTCCTGCCAGCCACTCCCGAGCCACTATGACATCTCTTCCTACCCTCACATCTGCAAGTGGCACCTTGTCCTGTCTCTGTCTGCCCTGACTGCTGAATTTGGTTGTCTCATCCCTTCTCCTTTCTACACTGTGCCAATTGCACACTTTGGGAGTGAAGCTGTGACTCTAAGAGCATCTGAAGGAGACAAGACAGGGAAGAGCTATTTTTGCCACGGCAGGAATTCCATGTTGGTCAGAATTCCATTCTTGGTCAGTAGATCCTGCCAAAGTAGGCCACCTTCCTAGAAATACGAGTGTCAGTGGAAGGCCTCAGCAAATAAATGCTCCACTGGATGGGAAAGGAGAATTGACAGGTCCCTGCAAGACAATATAAAATCTGCAAACAGCATCCAACTCAGGGAAAAGAGGCTTCCATCACAAATGGAGTAGAGTGTGGGGTGGGAGGGCACCTACCAGCTGGGATTTCAGCATGGAAATAACGTTTGACGATGCTGTTAATGAGGAAATTCTTTGTCTCGGGGTTGGTCTCTGAGACTAGCGTCTCCACGGCCATCCAGAAACGCAGCGGTTCATCTGCATTGCGCTCCTTGAGGAACTGCTTGAAGAACTGCAGGTGGGCAGGGTTGTGCAGGACTTTCACAAAGTGCCTGTAGAGGAGGAGACACCAGGAGATGTGATCTCTGTACCACCAGTGGCCTGGAAAATAGTCAAGACCTCTGTGCTTGCTGCTCAAAAAAAGAGACACCTGAAGAAGACCTAGAAATGCATGGATGAGGGATGCGTGGGGACCTGTGAAGCAGATGGGCCAGTAAAGGTACTGGTTGAGCGCAGCCTCCCTTGTCTGTTCTGCCCATCCACTGAGCTGTAGGGAATTCGGGGGGGGATTCTCCTGACAAGCTGTTTCTTTTCTGCTATAGTTGCACCTGCCCAACAGCTTCACTGCCATATATCCAAAGGAACTGCTCTCAGCCTACAGAGGAGGCTTCATCCAGGGAGTCAAGGAGGAGGCATGACTCTGGGTCTGTGCTGGAGACCTCAGAACCTGCTAATGGGAGGAGTGGAGCTGCCCTGCAGAGACCAGGGGTGAGAGGCAGGTAAGGATGGGGCACCTGGAAGGACTGGCTGGAGGAGGAAGTTGTGGTCCCCGCTGGTGCTTGCTGAGAATGAGCAATAATTTGCCACTAGATGGCAGCGAACGTTATGGATTTGGCCATGGAAAGGGTGTTCTGGAGTGGAAAAACCCTTGCTGCTTGCAACTGGTAGATCAGTGTAAAGCCAGAGGGCAGCCACATTGCAAAGCTCAGCAGAACTTTGGAAATCCAGAGCTGGGAGTGGACTGGGATTTTGGGTCATTTATGAGGTTAGCAAACCCTTATTTGAAGATCAGTGAACTGGGTCAGATATTTTCTTTCTAAGTGTGGCTCCTGAGACTGACTTTCACAATAAACAGTAAGAGCTGCTCCTACTCAGGACTTGTGTCCTGGTCACCATTTATATGTTGATGTGGAGCTGCAAGGACACTTAGAAACACTTGGATTATTCCCAGAAGGTGAGACATGAGCCACATGGATGCTCATGCAGTCAGCGAGGACAGAGACTTAGGTGTGGTCACAGGGTGGTTTTAAGCAATTTTTTGGGGAATCTGAGAGCTGCCCATCTGTACTACAGGTGGTGTGCCAGGGAGTGACTGGGGATGAAGTGTATGAGATACGCACAAGATGTGAGGAGTAAATCTGAACTATGGGATTGTGGGTGTGTGAGAAGATTTTTCTCCTTTCCTGAGTAATTCTAGAGTTCAGGCGCACAGGCCACCCATGCCTACATCTGAGAGGGCCCAATTATGATTTAGCAACCTGGTCTAGGGGAAGGTATCCCTGCCTATGGCCAAGGGTTGGAATTAGATGATCTCTGAGGTCTCTTTCAACTCAAACCATTCTACAATTCTATGAAGCAGGGAGCAGTGATGCTATAGGGAAGTACTGGGGAAAATCTGCCTCCTGGAAGAGTGGAAGCAGCAAAAACCAGCAAACTCCTGTGCTGCAAGGTGCCAGACCTGGGTCTTTCAGATGGCTTCTTTACTGCAACAGTGGTGGACTTCGTCACCCTTAATTTGTTTTTTCTCATGGGAACAGTCCTCTTCTTTCTGTTCTTGGATTCAGTGACTGTAGAGACAGAACATGGTTGATTCCTTCCTCAGATGACAGCCAGAGCCCGCTCACAGCTGTCTGCAGGGCAGAGGACCCCAAAGAAGCCCAAGCTTCTCCAGAGCCACTGTGCTGATGTCTGCATAGTGAGCCCAGCTCAGGAGATGCTGGGGAACCCTTTTCCTCCATGTGGTTTGACCACCCTGGTATCTGTTTCAGAGAAGCCCTCCCACTCCTACCCTCTCTGGCTGAATTAACACCCCAAAACATACGCCTTTCCAGGGTGACTAGGCCTCTCTCTCCTTCTGGAGATGTTCTACAGGATGATGGGATGCAAGCAGGGAAGACCCCTGCTTGCCCAATCCCCTAAGGTTACGCTGGAGCACCTCCAAGAGCGTGATGGTTGGGAGCCCACTCTGCCTCTAGCCTGCTTACACTGGACTCACCAAGTGATGGACTTTTGAGATCCAGAACCTCATTTTCCTTGCTTGATCTCTCCACAGCCAGTGAGGGTTTCTGAACAGCCAGCTCATTCGATACCATCTTCTGGGAGTCTGCATCAGATGAGAAAAGGAGAGAGATCCAATGTTCATTCCTCCTGGCTATGACAGCATTTTCTCTGAGTGCTGCACTTCGATCGCTACTCGCCTTTGCTTTTCCCTTCTCTGTCCTGTTCCCATGATCTACCCGTGACATGGCATTGCTGAGGTATGACCAAGGCTCCACAAACTACTTAAGAGACTGCTGTCCTTCCCGGTGCACCAGCAAGTGCCCAGAAACTTGACGTTGTTCTCAAAAGATGATGGGAGAAGACAAAGCTTAGGTGTTACACCAGCGTGGCCAGTCCGACATCAACAGGAGAAGGTCAGGGTCTGGAAATGGAGTGACAGCAGCTGTCACTGGCTTTGGATATCCATCACTTTGCTGTTGCTGTAGCCTCCATTTGATCTGATGACCCAGGTCAGTGCAGGGATGTGGCACTCGGTGCCTTTGGTACTGTCAGGAGGCAACTTGGCCCAAAGGTCACTGCCAGAGCTTGGATTACAGCTGATGGCTCCTAGATACCCCGTCCCAACCCACTCCATGATGTCCCTGAGCTGCCAGCAGTACAGCAATGCACAAAAGTCTGTGCGTTAGGGCCATCGGTCACCACGGGCACACAAAATACCCTTTATCATCCTGAGCTGACGTCAGCCCTGGCAGAAATTCAGAGCCTCCTCTTACCAGTCCTGCACAGGAGAGGTTCCACCTCTGCCTGGATGGAGCCCCCTTTCCGGAGGTCCCGAGTGGCGATTAATCGCCAGTGCTCGGAGGAGAGATCTTCCAAGTCCCTCGTGCCATGCAAGGCCTGGCTCAGCTCCAAGGACGCATTTATCCGCTGGGACAGGAGGAAACGTTCATCTTTCCCAGCAGCATGGCCTTGCATCTCCGGCTTCGGGACATCGCTCTGCGGAGACTACGGCGAGAAGAGCAGAGGGTGATTGCACGGAGCACATATCCCATCCGAGAAGCTGCTCCTGTGCTGTGCCCGATGGGCACCAGGTCTGTGCTCCGAGGGGTAATTTCCTCGACAAGAGATGCTTGAAAACCTGGGCAGCTAATTAACTTACAGCCAGGAGCATTTAATGAATCAGGGTCAGGAGCTGCCAGCTGATTTTTTCCAAGATGCTCAGCTCTCGCTGACTCAGACACTGGCATCTCTGCCAGCCAGGTCTTTGGGGCCACCAGCCCTGACAGCCTCTCCTCACCATTTCCAGCATCAGCTGCTGATTTTACTCTGCAGTTTGGGGGGAAGAGCCTAATAGTTGGTTTGAAGAACACTGCAGCGAGCGAAATTGCGTAGGTTGTGCAGGGATGCAGGTGGGATGCTCGGGGGGCTTCGGTCTGCGTGGAGGTTTCCTGCTGGAAGGTTAGCATTTAGGGAGTTGATAAACGTGAGGTATTAGTGGGATTTCTGCTACTAGGAGGGATAATAGTCTGGGAAGACTTGTATGACTCTGCTTTCTAAAAATCATCCCTTTACACAGTGGAAAAAATATATGGAGAACTGCCAGCGTGTGGGCCAGGCACTCGTGCTGGGACAGGGACACACACACGTGTGTGTGCACATGGGTCACGTTAATAGCAGAATTTGCTGTGGGCAAGGAAAAAAGAGGGGAGAGTTAATTCCCAGAAGTGGGCAACCATGAGGCGGTTACCCAGTGCCCTGCCTGCTGCTGGTCTTACCCCCACCTGCCCTGGGAGACTGCCTTGAAGTTTCTCCTTGGTTTTGGGCCAGGTGATGGCCCATCTCAGGGGAGCTCTTGCAGGACAGATGGGGTGTTGTAGTGGAAGAGCTGAGGATCGTTGCTCTGGGAAGTTGGAGCAGGGCAGGCTCTGCTGTATCGCCCTGTGGCAGCGGTGGCAAGGGGACATGGTGGGATGTTGGACAACTGCAGCTAATGCTGGGTTTCTCCTCCCTCCCTCTCTCCTGCTTTTCCCACTGATGCCTGTGCACCCCATGAGGATCCCCATGTCCCCTGTGCATCCCCTTTACCATAAACTGGAGGAATGTCCTGTCGTCGTCAGCTAGAAATTCCTCGTAGAAGCAGCAGAGCACCTGAGGAGAAGCCAAGGTGGGCTGTCATCAGCCGGTGCTCCAGCAGCAACCGGCACCCCCCCCCAGCCCACCATACCCTGAGGTCACAGCCGTGATGCCATGGGCAGGTTACACCTCACGGGGATGCCTAGGACAGCTCTGCCGGGAGCCATGCACCCAGGCTGCTCCATTGGGCTGCTCAGAGGCTGCCCAAAAGTGCTTGAGTTGTTAATATGTTGTGTCTTACTCATGTTGTGCTGGAACCAGTGGCTCAGATGCAAAAGGACGGCCACCATCCTGCCATCCCCTGGCATGCACATCTAACAACTGAGGTCACCAACTGCTTGTCTCTGCTCCACTGCCCAGCAAACCAGTGAGGATGCTCCTCTCCACTGGCCTGGCATATCTTGGTCACTGGTTTCAGTGTGAGGTGGCTTGTGACTGTAAGATTTCATTCTTTTTCCCCTTCCTTTTCATCTTCATTTTCAAAATATCTCTCTTCTTAAACAGGCCCACAGCCCTCACGGCAGCCCAGATGTCCCAATGCCACCTGTACCTCTCAGCCTGACCACCACCGGCACCGCTCTGTACCTTGCAAATCTCCTTCTGGGCTCTGACTATCCAGGGGGAGAACTCTCCAGACATCAGCTGGTCCCTCAAGCTCCTGAGAGTCCTGGTCTCCAGGGGAAGCTGCCTAATGGTGCCCTCCTCCAGGTAGGTCTTGCATATCTTCTCTGCAATCAAATGACGCAGGAAGAAACTGTTTTCTCTGCTGGGGTCCAGCACCACAGACAGAAATTCCTCCAGGTCATGCCACAGATCCAGGAGATGAGTCTCCACGGACCGGTCCTGGCGCTTCAAGAAGTCCCTGAAGGGCTGTCCTGCGCAGCTCTCAGCACTAAGGGCCCAGGGGAGGAAATTCAAGGTTTTGACCGGCTTTTTCAGGGATGGCAGCTGGGCAAGGGGTGTAGAGGAACGCAGGTTAGAGAGGACCTTCTCTTCACAGAGGTCTTCCAGATGAAGGACCTGCTCTGCATTGGGTCTAGGTCTTTTAGGAGAGATTGCTTCTCCTTTGCCTCCAAAAGCAGTGTTTGCAGGATGCTCTGGCTGCTGAGGAGTCGGTCCCAAAGCAGCCTCTTCCAGATGTGATTCCTTTGTGCTCCTGGCTGGCCCCGGCTGCCTTTTTGGTTGCACCTGAAAACTGAGTGTCTTCATCTCTTGGGTGTCTTTTCCTTCCTTGACCAGCATCCAGATCTCTGCTTTGGCCTTCTTGCTGCAGTAGAGCCCCGACAAACCCTGGCTCCTTTTAATATGCATCGTGAAGGGATTCTCCGAAAAGCCTGAGGGCTCCTGCAAGTTGGGCTGTAATAAACGCCTCTGATATTCCTGCAGCAGAGACTGGCATGATTCCTCTTCCTCCATGCCCATCTTGCAGTGGATGAAGAATTTAGGGAGCCAGTAACTCTGAATCATAAAGAGGGCCCGTTCCTGCATCTCTCTTAGGATCTCCCTCCTGGTGCTGATGAGCTGATCGTGCTTGGTTTTCAGCACCGACCCTGAAATGGATGGAGGGGATTACGATGGAGACATGGCTCCATGCAGGCCATTCCCCAGCCAAGCAGAGCTGATGATGGTATCCCCTCTCCCTGGGAGCATCCAGGAAAGGCCATCTCGCTGGAAGGGCACTGCTCATCCCCAGTTCCCGTGTTTCTTACCAATGACGGTTCTGCAGAGAGTGATGATGCTGGAGCCTTCACGCAGGTGAGTGGCTTTCAGCCTGTAGAGCAAGGACAGGTAGAGGTCCTTCTGCCTTGTGTCCAACTCGTCAAGCCCCAGAAGCCTTTCGGTGGAGAGCCAGAAGTCAGTCAGTTCTTCCCCTATGGATCAGACAAGGGACGAGAGTTGGAGAGAGTCCCTGTAAGCCCCGCTGATGAGTGAAGCAGCAAAGGAAAGATCACCTGGATGAACTGAGGGAACAGTGTAGAGAAGAGCCAGAGCTACATAGAGGCCATGCTGGGGCTCTGCTGCTGGCCCATCTTCCAAAGCTCTATCTGGAATCCCAGTGTCTCCTGTCCCACCGGTGCTTACCCACACCCCCAGCTCTGCGCTGGTGTCCCGCCGGGCAGCTCACCAGCAGCTGGCCGAGAAGGGGCTGCAGAACACTCCATGCCCACCTGCTGTTCCTTGGATGAAGGCCCGAAAGTGCCACATGCCCTGGCTCCCGCTGATGCACTTCTCCAGCAGCCACCGGTCAGCACTTTGCCAGTTCAGCAGTTTTGCTGTCAGAGAGTGCAGAGCATGGCATCGGGGGGTGCCCGGAAAGCCCTCCGGATCCCTCCAGCATCCTCCCTGGCACAGGCTGCTGGAGGGCAGCAGTGCTGTGAGCCAGGAGACCAGCAAATCACACCGAAACAGGAGTTTTGGACAGGATTGTGGGATGCGCGCGTGGTGTCGGCAAGGATGCTGCACCCTCCATGTGTGTTGCCAATAGCCTGCCCGGCTGTTGTGCCTCTTTAAAAAACATCCACCTCTTTTTGCCTGTGTTTGGGGCTTGCCCTCAAATTTCTTCAGCTTTCTTCAGACAGAACAGCTGGCTGGGCTGCACTGGCTCATTTTAGGGGTAAACAGCACAATTCAGACTTGCTGCCGGGAGAGCAGACCACGGCATGGGCCTGTGTTCCCAGCGTAGGATGCATCAGACGAGGAGCGTATCCCAATAGAGTGCGACAGCACCAGGCACCCTGCACAGCAGCAAACCTGAAACCTCAGGAGCCCAGTTTGCCATGCCTGAGGATGCTCTCCAGCCCCGCTTCACCCAGGAAACACACAATAAACCCTGCTAAGCAGCTGTTTCGGCTCAACTCCATGGAGGCAGCAAGCCTGTAACTAACAGGTCTGTGGGATAAAGCCTCACTCGTCCAACGGAAACTCTGGGATCTGCTGCATCCCTGAAAATGGGACATGCAATGCCTTTTTAACCCGGAGCAGAGGCACGACCTGCTGGGCAGGCACCAGGCAGTGAGAGCCCTGCCGCGGTGGTGGGGAAGCCGCTCCGAATTCGTCCGTGCCGCAGTGACTCACCTGCTTCCCCCGACCGAATGAAACCCAGGAGCTTCTGGCAGAGGATGAGGTGGAAGCACAGGCTGGATTGGCAGAAGTGAGGCAG